AAGAGGCTGTCAGATCCCCTGGAACTGGAGTTACAGACAGTTGTTAACTGCCATGTGGGTGCTGGGATTCGAACCCAGGTCTTCTGCAAGAACAACCAGTGTTCTTAACTGCTGAGCCATCTCTCCAGCCCCTGATTGGGGATTTTTAAAAATTACAGATTTATTTATTTATTTTTGTTTTTGGGGGGGTCTCCCTGTAGCTCTAGCTGACCTGGAACTTGCTATGTAGACCAGGCTGGCCTTGATCTCACAGAGATCCACCTGCCTTTGCCTCCCAAGAGCTGAGATTAAAGGTGTGAACCACCATGCCCAACTCCATTACAGACATTTTTCAATAGTGTAGTAATTGCATTTGTACACCTGTGTTTTAAAATTATACCCAAAGTTATAAACCATAGCTGTAGAGTGATTTCTTCACCCTTGTGTAGATTTTTCCTGGAGAATAGTGAGCAAGGGATCCTTGTGGGATCCGATCAAGTGACCATGTGGTGGGTGCCTGCAGATAGATGCTCATCTCTGACTGCATTAAAAGGGCAGAAGCTGTTCCAAAGCAGGGGTGTGTGTCTGTGTTTGTGTCTGTGTCTGTGTGTTCTGGAAAATAAATACATGATGACATGGATCTCTCCATTGTGGTTTAAATGATTTCCACTTCAAGCTGTTACAGGAGTATTTATTAATTTGATGGATTATCTTGCTGTTTCTTGCAGTAGGTAGATTTGGGTGATGGTAAGGTTTGGTGAAACACTTTGTGTTTAAGGATACTGAGAATGTTCCTGACAATACCGTATGTTTGTGTCTGCTCCGAAGGACCCGTGTTTCTTGATCACCGGGATGAACTTGAAGGAACGTACAGGGTTTACTGCCAGAACCATGATGAGGCCATTTCACTGCTGGAAATCTACGAAAAGGATGAGAAGATCCAGAAACATCTTCAGGACTCCTTGGCAGATCTTAAGTAGGACTTTTGATCATTTCACACCATCATAGCTCTTACTTCTGCCTTTTAGGTGTTAACCCATGTTTCTGTCTGGACTATTTTTTTAAAAAATATTTTATTATTTTTATTTTATGTGTATGAGTGTATTGATTGCATGTATGTAAGTGCACCCATGCCATGCCATGCCCCTGGAAGTCAGAAGAGGGCATCGGATCCCCTGGAACTGGAGTTATAGACAGCTGTTAGCCACCAGGTGGGTGCTAGGAACCAAACCTGGGTCCTCTGCAAGAACAGTCAGTGCTTTTAACTGCTGAGCCATCTCTTTAGTCCCTAATTAAATAAATCTTAAAAAACAAAAATAAAAAGTCCAGGGCGTTTTTTTTGAGGTAGGGTCTTTCTGTAGCCCCAGCTAGCCTGGAACTCTCTATGTGGACCAGGCTGGCCTCGAACTCACAGAGATCCACCTGCTTCTGCCTCCCAAGTGCTAGGACTAGAGACCTATGCCCCCATGCCTGGCAAGGGCTCACTTTCTGATAAGACTGGATATACCACCACCAGCATTCAGTTTTCTTTTATCCTGCATGGCTTTCGACTGCTGAATGTAGGCATGCTCTGAGAACAGGGAGAGAATCAATGCCATGTCTAATACAAGCTCTCTTTTTTTTCTTCATGCTCCCATCCTGTAGGAGCCTGTACAACGAATGGTAAGTCCCCTCTACTTGCTACCCAATGCATGAACTCATTTATTCAGTGAATTTCTTCCATCTCTTAGGCTGACTTTATATTCTTTATGACAGAAACCTAGGCACATCTTCCCATATTTTTTCATAGCACTTACTACAAAACGGCCCTTTATGTATTTATTTTTTTTATTGCTTGTTTTCTTCCTCCATGGCAAAGTTATCTTTTGGTCTCTATTAAGTCCCCAGCATCTAGAATAGTGCCTGGTATTTATCAGGTGCCCAGTAAATGCACCCATGTACCACATAAGAACTTTTCAGTCAGTGGTGAGCCACTTGTGCAACAGGTCCCATAAGAGCACATCCCCTAGGACGCTGTAGCCATCTCAGTGTGTGGAGTATATTCAGTAGTGGTTGTATAACAAAGTCACCTAATGGTTGCATGTTTCATCACATGGCCCTGCCATTAGTGATGCATGACTATATTTGTTGAATGAATGAAACTGGAAAGTAGAGTCAAAGACAGAACTGTATTTAGGGATAGCAAATGATACCCAGAAATACCTTAGCATTATCTTTTTTCTGCTGTCTCTTACAGGGGATGCACCAATTACATCAACCTAGGCTCCTTCCTCATCAAGCCAGTACAGAGAATAATGCGTTACCCACTGCTGCTAATGGAGTTGCTGAATTCCACCCCAGAATCCCACCCAGATAAAGTACCTTTAACCAATGCAGTCCTTGCTGTCAAGGAAATCAACGTTAACATCAATGAATATAAACGGCGAAAGGATCTGGGTAAGAAAGGCATAGTTACTGTGAAGGAGGCGTGCCTCTGAGAAGGCGTTCCTCAAAAGAATAACTTCCTGGAGCTGGAGAGATGGGTCAGTGGTTAAGAGCACTGACTATTCTTGCACAGGACCCAGGTGCACCTGTCCATGACTCCAGTTCCAGAGATCCGATGCTATGACATGGGCACGCTTACATCCATGCAGGCAGTACACTCATATACATAAAATAAATTAAAAAAAATAAAAGAATTATTTTCCCAGAATTAAACAAGGCAGGTTGCAGGTGTAACAGGGCTGGGAGGAAGAAAAACGGTAATAGAATTTGGAGCCACTGTGGTATGAAAAAATCAAAGCAGCTATAATCAAAGCATTGCTCTGGGCAATTGGAGTAAGGTATGAGTAAGTGAGCAGTAAGGCTGTAGGTCTGCATGGAGTGTGGAGACGAGCGCACAGCGCGGTCAGCAAGGGTCCTCAAACGCATACCATTCCTCCGGCTTCTCTAAGGAAGTCCTTTCAGCACATGCTCAGATCTGTTCTCTACTCATTGAATTGCAGTCTTGCTGTCATCTACTAGGTTAGGACTTTTCGTCTTCTTTTAGCAACCCCCAATCTACCCCTCCCCCAGCTTCTTTTCTTACCACCTGTGCCCAGTGACCTGCTGTCTGCTGTGAGCCCCTCATTGACCCTCCTAGCACTGTGTAGTCAGCTGGATGCCCACTCGTCCCCCGACAGCATGAACTGGGCAGTTTTATTGTCTTTTTTCAAATCTCTTATTGGGGCGCTGAACTGAATACTTAACAGCTATAGAAAGGTGACTATACTGAATTTTTATTCATATCAAAGAGACAGTAACGTAGAGTAGTGTCTTTGTATTTCTACTGTTTTCTACACTTTGCTAGAATTATCTGTAATAAAATTCCACTCTCTGCCTTCCTCAGTCATGTTATAATGAGTGACGCTGGCTGTGGCGTAGGCGTTGCGTTCTCTGCCATTGAGCCCTTTCTTTGGGTTCAACCTGATAAAATGTCCTCTTCATCTTCTCGGTGACAGGCTGTTCCCCTTCCACCATCCCCATCTGTTATTTCCAGACTTTTCTTCAGAGTGCACCTAAAATACAGCACAGTAGCTAATCAAATAGCTAGTGGAGAGCATTTTTCTATGTGAGTTCAAGGCCAACCTGGTCTACAAAGCAAGTTCCAGGCCACAAAATGAAACCCGCCTCACAAAAACCCCCAAAATAAAAATAAACATCTCATTTTGTATATGAATGAGATCATCATATACTAATCTTAGAAGGCTCAAAAGTATTACTCAAAAGAAACTCAAAGAAGTAAAAGTGAGCTTTATAAGGCTGTATCTTGATTAGGGATAGACTCGGGCATTGAACTCACAGACATCCCTGACTCCTGACCTTCCACCCGGCTGCCTTTCCTTTAGTCCTTAACCCTCCTCCCAGCTGCCCAGTCTCTGCTGAGGGCGGTGTGCATCTGTTCCAGAATGAGTAATATTTTGTCACACAAGTTGATGTTGTTAATTTCATTGTATGTTCATTTTTAGAAAAACCTTTCTATTTCTGGGTTTCGGGCTTAGGAAAGTACTTTTCTGACCAGCTGCCTTAACCTTCTCCCTAGTGCTTAAGTACCGCAAAGGTGATGAAGATAGCCTCATGGAGAAGATTTCCAAGCTGAACTTCCACTCCATCATTAAGAAGTCCAACCGGGTCAGCAGTCACCTGAAACACCTCACTGGCTTCGCTCCTCAGGTGAGGGCCCTGGGTTCGTAGGACCAGCATGTCTCTAACAGCACTGGAGGGCCCCATGGGCAGCTTCTAATGTGGTTTGGCATGGGTCCCTTCCTAGCGCCTCCTCTGGCTTTGCCAGCTAGTAGAAACAGGGCCCTGCAGCTACTGAGCTGTTTTTAATATACACAGAGGCAAATTAGGAAGCCGGCATATAATAGTTATTGTGGTTTTCGTGCCTCTAAGAAGCTTATAACCTATTTTTGGGTAGTCCAATCCACAACTGTAGATGTATTAAGCTGGAAGAGATTTAAAAGATCACCTAGTTGGACGTCTTATGTTACAGAGAGGGAAACAAAGGAGATTTCGGGACTTGAAAGGCAGTTTGGTAGGAGTACTTCGTGCAAACCTGAAGTCTCCAGACTCTTTCCTCTGTGTCATGCATGTTTCAGCGGAAACAGCGGAAAATACAAGCTAGAAGAGCCCCAGTTTCATGCTTTGTACTTCTTTTCTGAATGATGCAGTACTTGAACAGGAGTTCAGTGAGACTGTATTTGTGTTGGCCTGAGTTTATCTGAGTCTTTAGGGAGGGTGAGAGGCCTGCCAGGCAGGACAGTGCAGGGCAAGGCACTGGCAGATAGATGTGGCTGGGAATGGAGAGGACAGCAGCCCAACCAGAGCACTGGTTTTACCTCTGAGTGGAGGGGAAGCCAATTTGGAAGTAGACAGGCCAGCCTGTGTTTCAGAAGTCTTTCAGAGCTACAGAGACATCCAAATTCAATTCAATATGATTCAGGGAAATAGCAAGTTAAAAATTTTGATGAAAGATGCTTCTATTTTTGCTAATAAGGCCTATTGAGGGAGAATCCATATTTTCTAATAGCACTTATTTTGAACAGATAAAAGACGAACTATTCGAAGAAACGGAAAAGAACTTCCGAATGCAGGAAAGATTGATTAAATCTTTTATCCGAGACCTGTCTCTCTACCTCCAGCATATACGGGTGAGTATCAACATCTCTCTCGTTAGAAAGTTTTCTCCACTTTCCTGTTCATCTTGCATGTTGCTTAATGAAAGTAATCTGGACTCAAATGACCATTTTACCATCTTGTGCCATTTGTTGGGATTCCTATGAAGTATTTAAAAGTTAACACAATTTTTAGAAACAAGTACTTTCAAGTGTCCTCACTCTCTTCTCCCTCCAGAGCCTCATCACCCTTTTCCACACGTTTATGTAAGAAGCACTTGTCATAGTTTAATTTGCCAAAATCATTCTGAAGATCAAATGGGCAGTGTGGTTGTAGAACCAGGAGCATAGACAAAAGGAGAGACAAGCCACAGGTTCTGTGGAGGGGGCCTTCTGATTTTGTTTGTTTGTTGAGACAGTCTGGCTTTGAAAACTTGTATTGGAGGATGGCCTTGGACTCTTGGTTTTCTTGCCCTTATTTCCTAGGTACTGAGATTATAGGTGGGAGCCATGACCGGCCATTTTAACTAACTTTCTCTTTTCTTTCTTTCTTTCTTTCTTTCTTTCTTTCTTTCTTTCTTTCTTTATTTATTTTATGTGTGTGTGTATTGCTTGCATGGTTCTTTCTTTCTTCTTTCCTTCTTTCTTTTTAAAAAATATTTTATTTTTATTTTATGTGTATGAGTGTATTGCCTGCATGTGTGTAAGTGCACCCATGTCATGTAATGCCCAAGGAGGATCCTCTGGAACTGGAGTTATGGACAGTTGTTAGTCACCATGTGGGTGCTGGGAATCAAACCCTGATCCTCTGCAAGAGCAGTTAATGTTCTTAACCTTCGAGCCATCTCTCCAGACCCTAACCATTTTAACGTTCAATTCACAGAGTTGCTCAACAATGTCCACTCTAGAGTAGTCGGAGCTGTTAAGTTGGTTCAGGGCACTGAAGAAGCTCAAGGGCACTGGGTGAACCTGGTTTTTTCTGGCCCCTGGCAGTGAGAACCAGACTCAGTCATTTCTGTTCTAAGTTCTTTGATTTAACAGAGCAGTGTGTCTAGAGACTGTAAGCACTTGCTGTGTCCCCATCTCTCCCTGAGAACATTTCCATAAATGAATATAATTTCATTTAAAGGAGATTCTCTGCTTTAAAAATATTTCTTTTAATTTAATAGGACAGAGGATAAAATGGACATGGTGGTATAAACCTAGCATTCAGGAGGCTGAGACAGGAGGACTGCTGTGAGTTTGAAGACTAGACTGCAGCATGAAGCTCTGTCTCAAAAAAAAAAAAAAGACAAAGGGGATAAGGAATAAGTGAAAATAATTCCTCCTGCTCTGTCTCCTGATCCCTTCGTGTTTTAAGGATAAGGAATAAGTGAAAATAATTCCTCCTGCTCTGTCTCCTGATCCCTTCGTGTTTTAAGGATAAGGAATAAGTGAAAATAATTCCTCCTGCTCTGTCTCCTGATCCCTTCGTGTTTTAAGTTGGTCTTTTGAGACAGGGTCTCCCTGTAGCCCCAGCTGTCTTGAATTCACTATGCAGACCAGGCTGGCCTAGAACTCAAAGAGCCTGCCTCTGCCTCCCGAGTGCTGGGATTAAAAGTGTGCGCCATCACACCCAGCATGTTTTTAAGGATTTTAATTAGGTTAAAATTAGAGTTCATAAAACTTTTCAGGACTACGTTAGCTTAGAGTGAGAGATTTAACAAATAAACTGTTGAAGCAACTTCCAAGTATGTTCACTTGTCTTTCTGTTTCTTTGGACTGTCCCAGTCCTGACACCCTGTAGTAACCACTGTCCCCTGTGCTTTATGAATACGTAGCCAGTACATGCTCGTGTCCCTGGCTTAGAGGCACATCCCTGTTGCAGAGAGTGACAGCATTTTAAGGCAGGACTTTTGTGACATTAAATAGCCATTTGATAGATGTGTCGGTTGGTTCTGACAACTGATAGTAGAAATTAGGAGAGGATGTATGGAATGGTTTTGTTACTGACACAAAGTGAAAAGCCTTCCAGACGAGATGGACTGGCCACAGGGTCACCGGCTGTATAATTTTCTGTTTACATTTGGCACATAGACTGATATTTTGGAACTTTACAATATTTTTCTTTGTTCTTTTTTTTTTTTAAATCAAAGAATTTTTTTTAAATTTGGTATTATTAAAACAGAACTCCTGTTTAGGGTATGTATTATATCAGGTAAGGCAAGTGATTTTATATGAAACATAGATACTAGCAGAACTATAAAGGCAGTATGACTATACATATCCAATTTATTTTTATTTTTTTAAGACAGGGTCTCATATGGCTCAGATTGGCCTCAGACTTACTGTGTGGCTAAGGCTGGCCTTGGACTCGATTCTTCTACCTCCACTTCCCAAGTACTGGGATTACAGGCATATGCCACCATACTTGGCTCACATCCACCTTTTTAAAGCAATATATTCCAGGCTACATAATATTTCCTCTCATGTTCTGTTTGAATATTACATATTTCACATTAAGCTTAGAAGCATAGTTGTATAATATATTTAAAAAATGCTTCCTTTTTCCAATCACAAAGTATGCAGTATTTTCAGACACCCAATATAGTTTTTTTTCTCAAAATTTAAAAGATACACCAGCTAACTGAGAACTATGTTAAGTAACTGTACAAAGGAAAGTTCACAAGGAGAACAAAATAGAAAACGAAGGGCAATGATTATAGCATTTAACAACAGCAACAACAAAAGTAGTTCTAAATCTACTTGCTTCTTACTAATCTGTATACTCATTTCTTTTTTTTTTATATTTTATTTTTAATTTTTACTTTATGTGTTTTCGTGTATTGCCTGCGTGTATGTGAGTGCACCCGTGTCGTGCAATGTCGCGGAGGTCAGAGGAGGGCTTCGGATTTCCCTGGAACTGGAGTTAAGGATGGTTTGTAGCTGCGCTGTGGGTGCTGGGAACCAAACCTGGGTCCTCTGCAACAGCCGTCAGTGCTCTTAACCACTGAGCCATCTCCCCAGCCCCCTGTATACTCATTTCTAATACTAATATGATAAGCATACTAAGACTGCACAATAATTATTTTGGCTATTTATTATATAGTCCCTGTATCCTTTCCAATATGAATGGGAAGTGATTTTCTTAGGAATATAAAAGAAAATAGTCTTTGCAGTTTTTAAAAAAATCTGAGTCATGTAAAGCTGAGTCTTTTAAAAATGATTTATTGTGTCTGTATTTATTGTATGGACAAATGTACACAAAGGAGTACCTTGGAGGTCTGCGGACAGCTTGTGGGAGTCAGTTCTCTCCTACCGTATAAGACCCAGGATTAGGCCATCAAGGTTCGGCAGCAAGTGCATTTACCCGATGAGCCATCTTCCTGGCCCCAAAGCTGCCTCCTGTAATTTTGAAAAGTTTAATTTAATTTAGGGGGCCTTAATTGAAAATGACCATATAGCATGTATTTTTTGTTGTACAACACGCCCATAAACTGCTATGGCTAAGCAAAGACAAGTTCTTATTTCATCTGTGTTCATATACATATATATATATATATTTTAAGCCCCAGCTGGCCTGAAACTCAATATGTAGACCAGGCTGGTCTCAGTCTCACAGAGATCTGCCTGCCTCTGCTTCCTGAGTGCTGGGATCAAAGGTATGTGCCACCATGCCTGACTTAAAATTTTTAACAAGAAAAAGAAATGAAGAAAAGCATTCTTTCTGAAATGGTTTTGTTTTAAATAAGGGTGGAGGATCAAGTAATGTTGGCAGTCCATCTTTGCATAGAAGAGAAGAAGCTGGACACTATTTCCTTCCTAAGGTCTCAGCTAGTTTCTTGAGTCTTTTCTTCAGCTCTGATGGGAATCTCTCATAGCATTTCCTACAGACTGACTTCTTGTCCAGCTCCACGAATGTATTCTTGAGTGTTGGCTTGGTATTTCAAGTGGAATAGGTAAAGCAGCTCACACACCAGATCTTGTTGAGGGAAAAGACCATATCACTTTCTATGGCCCTGTTACCTTGGAAGCATCACCGAATCGCTGGGTATAGTGGGTTTCACAATAGGCCAAGCCCTTCCTCTCACAATGGTGATGTCTAAGAAATGGTTTTTGAACTCGGCATAGACAAAATGCTCCACATGCCGCTGCTTGCTCATGCCATCACTATAAACCCTTCAGCAAGCCTCTGACAGACACTAAAGATAAGGACCCCATCTTATGACATGACAGGCAGTACAGCTCCCCTTTCAGCTCCTGGGCCTCAGCAGTCAGCTCCTTCCCAAAGTTGGCATAGTTGAAGTGGTCTAGGTGGTAAGGGTCGTTCTTGAAGATCAGAGGCTGTTCATAGTGCTAGCATGTCATTTCTGGCAGATGTGTTTTCCAAGCCTCTGACTTTTCACCATTATGATATGGGCAACAGAGATGTCTGCCAGCATTCTTGGCAAATCCAGCGTCTGCCTGTACTTCGTGGTAGAGGTTACATCAGAAGCATTCAGTTTACCAGCAGTTGTTCATGGCTTTGGTAGCCTGGCCAGTGATAAATTCACCACACTGGTGGTAGCAGGGAGTACAGAGCATCTGGAGATTGTGTTCGTAGTATTTCCTTCCTTCAGACTCATAGAGGAGTCCTGGAAACTGTTGGGTGCACTGAGCATATGTGAAGCACTGCTTATGGTGCAGCTTGCCATTACTGTTCACAGTCTCCTCAGCAGGTGCAAAGCCCCTCTTGAAACACTCACAGTTAATGCTGGCCAGGGCACCCGCCATGTTGCTGTTGATTATTTTGCCATCACGCCCAGCATCTCTGCAGTGCAGGCCATGTTGGGTCCCCTCAGTGCTTAGTTGTTTATTCGTTTTTGAGATAGTGTTTCATGTAGCCTAGGATGACCTTGAACTCTCCAAGTAGCCAAGAATAACCTTGAACCCCTGCTCTTTCTGCCTGTTCCTCTTGAATGCTGGGATTATAGGCATGCACTACCACACTCTCCTTACAGTATTTCTTTAAAAGAAAACAAGAGGACAGTTGTGTTTCACATTCGTTTCCACTAGAGAAGAGTTAGAAAGGCTGTTGGTTTGTGCTGCTGACAGAGTACTGGCCTTAGTTATATAGTTACACAGACTTCATATGTATGTGACTTAACAAGATACCTCAAAAATGTTATAACTAACATATGATGCATTCATAGGTTTTGCTAAAGAGATTTTGTTGACCCTTGAAATGTACTTGTGGGGGTTTTATGCATTTAGATTTCATTTGTGTTAATGCCTTTAAAAGAAAATATCATTGTGCCAAGTAGCTGGGAAAAAAAAATTGGCTTAGGACTGAAAAACAGTCATGAGGGTCATGATCATGAAAATGTCAATCAGGCGGTCTCTCCTCTATGTTCACTTACTCAACAAATGGTCACGGAGTCCGTGAACACAACAGGTAAACCTTTGTCTTCCTGGAACTCACATTTCATGGAGGAGGGAGACAGTGAAGAAGCCTCAATGAGCTGCACCATCAGCCTCAATAAGCTGTGCCACCATCTGCGTCTTTGTAATGACGGGAAGAAGCAGAAGAGGGCTGGAACCACGGGAGCCGGGGTCAGTGGGGAAGCAGGACAGATTGTCAGGAGGGAAGTTGAGGCAGGTGTCCTTGGTCAGCATAAGCCAGGACTTGAGAGAGGAGTGATTGGTCATTAACCCTCCAAGGTCTGTCTTGGTTTTGATTTGATTTGCTTTTGGTAAATTAAGAAACTCTCAGGGCTGGAATGATGGCTCAGTGGTTAAGAGTGAAGACCTGGTGGGACTGGAGAGGTAGTTCAGCGGTTAAGTGCACTGTCTGCTCTTGCAGAGGACCTGGATTCGATTCCCAGCACCTACATGGTGACTAACAACCAACCATAACTCCAGTACCAGGGGATCTGAGGCCCTCTTCTGATCTCCATGGGCATTGCAGGACACGGGTGCACTTTCGTACATATAGGCAGTACACTCATAAAAATAATTTAAATTTTTAAAGAGTTAAGACCTGAGTTCAGTTCCCAAAAACCATTTAGGGAAGCTCAAAACTGCCTATAACGCCAACTCCAGGAGATCCAATGTCTTCTGGCCTCCACTGGCACCTACACACATGTGCACATATACAAGTAGAGACACATACATAAATTTTTTTTTTTAATCTTAAGAAAAAATCTTGCTCCTCTAGGGGTGTAGAAGAATGCTAAAGAGATGATAAAAATCAGTCAGACGTGGTGGTGCAGGCCTTTAATCCCAGCACTTGGGAGGCAGAGGCAGGCAGATCTCTGTGAGTTCGAGGCCAGTCTGTTCTACATAATGAGTTCAGATCAGCTGGGGCTACAGGAGACCCTGTCTCAAAAAGACCAAAAAACAAAACAAAAAAGATGATAAAAATCTTCACCAGTTTTTTTCTAACTAAAACTCTTAACTTTTCTCTATGTCATAAGTCAATTTATAAAGACAGGTTTGTTTCACAGCCAAACTATTAGACCAGAGAGGAAAGGTTGCATACTAGTTGTTTTGTTAGACTGCTGCAGGGATGAATGTTGAAGGCTAGAAAGTTCTTTGCATTCTTATTGTATCTGTTGCTCGTGGACTCCAGGAATCTGCATGTGTGAAAGTGGTAGCAGCTGTGAGCATGTGGGATCTATGCATGGAGAGGGGACACCGTGACCTGGAGCAGTTTGAGAAGGTGCATCGCTACATCAGTGACCAGCTCTTCACAAAATTTGTAAGTGACTTTCTTCAGCCCCCTTTTCGTAATCTGGCCCCTCCCAGGGTCCTCTCAAATGGCAGCTCATGCAAACGTCAAATCCACAGACACCAGGAGCACATCAGGGTTTACAGACAGAATATCACTTTTAGTTAGAGGGACAGGTAGGACCTCTGAGTGTTCTGTGGATTTTTCTAGAGCTTGTGTTCAACTTAGTTTCAGAGGACAAACTAGGAAAACCTAGAAAATTTAGTCTGGTTGATAATTCTGATCGAAAACAGTTATTCCTAAATATTCCTTTTCTAGTTAAAATAGTATCAAACAGGCCTTCATAAAGTACGAAGTACTAAAGGCCAAATTGCTTAGGAACTTCCATATAGAGATATGGGATTATCTAACTGCTGATAGAATTGTGTGGGACTGGGATTTCTTAGAGTGACGTGTGTGGAGTAAGGCGACGGCCGACGTGCTCTTGGAACTAACAGGGAGTCTAACAGTAAATTCCTTCACTGTGTGCCATTGGGACTGAGAGGATGCCTCCAGTGGTAAAGTGTTGAGCACAGAAGTTAAGAGTCCCTAGTACTCCTGTGTACTCAAAGCTAGGCATGGTGGCACAGACTTGTAGTCCTGGCACTGGGGAGGCAGAGGCAGGTGGACCACTGGTGGTTACTGGTTAGCCTACTTGGTGAGTTTCAGACCAACAGGAGACCCTGCCTCAAAAAAAGGTGGGTGGGGGTGGGGCCAGAAGAACAACACTGAGATTGTCCTCTGGCCTCACACACAAAATTATAGGCTGCTTAGTACTTATTTATGTTTTTATGTGTTTAATACCCTACCCTCAACATCTGTCTTTCTAGAAAGAATGATAGAGAAGTGCCCTGAAAAGTGAAAAACAGGTATCACCAAGCAGTTATGACTAGAAAGTTTTATAGGCATGTCAGAGTACCTAGTCCCAGATTTATTTAAGAAGCAAACTTGAGGTTAGAATCAAGCCATATGCACCTACACATAACGGGTTAACCAGATAGACTGTCATGTCAGCTTTCTAATGCTAGCATCATACTGAAGAGCAGTTTAGTATTCATCTGCTAAGGAGCTATGGTGGGATTAGCCTGGCTGGCAAAGGCCTGGGTGTGGGAATTGCTGGATGAAATAGATGCTGAGAGGCTTGGTGAAACATGTCAGTGGAGCATGGCTGTGCTTTTCCATGGGGGGTAGGGATAGGGTGTCGGGTGTCATCTGGGCTCCTACAGGCAAAGCAGGAGATATAGGACTCAACTAAATCAGCCTTAAAGTGCTTTGGAGAAAAGAAATGAGATTCTGACCAACTGTGGCATATCCTTCTTGTCCCTACAGAAGGAGAGGACAGAGCGGCTGGTCATCGGTCCCCTAAATCAGCTGCTGAGCATGTTCACCGGGCCCCACAAGCTGGTACAGAAGCGCTTCGACAAGCTCCTGGACTTCTACAACTGCACTGAACGGGCAGAGAAGCTCAAGGACAAGAAGACCCTGGAGGAGCTGCAGTCAGCACGTAATAATTATGAGGCGCTGAACGCACAGCTGCTAGATGAACTGCCCAAGTTCCAGCAGTATGCCCAGGGCCTCTTCACCAATTGCATCCATGGCTATGCCGAGGCCCACTGCGACTTTGTGCAGCAGGCACTGGAGCAGTTGCAGCCGCTGCTGTCGGTGAGTCTCTTACTCTGCCGGGGCGATGTCGTCTCTGGAGTGCACTTACTTGGTACTTTCTGGGAATGCATGATGGGGATAAGAAATTTTATCCAGAATAGAGATGAAGCATGTCATTAGTTCCTGCCTATTAGGAGCCCTTGGTCCCTTGATGGTGCCATGAAACCTGAGGCTGTTTGAATGTTGCTTTCCACGCTGAACAGTTTCCAGAGGCGCGGTCCCACTGCAGTTCCACAGACCTCCTTGTCGCTTGCATTGGCTGCCGTGTGGGTACCTAACACAGCCAGCTGAGCTGACCTTTAGCTCCAGTTGGTTCTGAAAGGACTCTGTCCAGCCCGGGATCTCTCAGCTCTGTTCTCTTTCCTTGCCTTGCCATCTCACGAACTCCAGTTACTCAAAGATGCCGACAGAGAGGGCAACTTGATCGCCATCTTCCATGAGGAACACAGCAGGGTTCTGCAGCAGCTCCAGGTCTTCACCTTCTTCCCAGAGTCGCTTCCAGCCTTGAAGAAGCCCTTTGAGAGAAAAACCACAGACCGCCAGTCTTCTCGGAAGCCCCTCCTGGGCCTGGTGAGTAGGCGCTGAGAAGGGCAGAACTATGGGTTGAGTGTGGACTACAGAGCCAGATGGCCTGGGTGGGCCTGGGTACGGATGCCAGCACTGATACTTACTTACACACTGTGCTGTCCAGAGCATGTCACCTCACTTCCCCATGTCTGTGTCACAGATGATAACTGATGATAATTATTAGCCCTGCACCACAGGGCTATTAACAAGTCTCTGTAGAAGGCACATAGAAATAGTAAGTGTTATACAAGTAGATGCTATCGATATTGATGAGCCTGACTACTGATAAACGGCTAATAGGAGCTTAAACTTTTTATACGTGAAGGATAGATATGTGAAGTATAGAGGATAGTGGGTCTATTCTACCATGGGCTCAGTATTTCCCGAGCATCGTTGATCTGCCTGCAGGTACCCGATTGAGACCACCTAGAGTCTTGGTATAAATCTGCAATCATCCTTGGATCTTAGTAACACATTAATACAATGACCAATTAATTAACATATTGACCAATTAATTAAGGAAACAGTATTATCAATATACTTATTCTATCAGGCCTACTTATTTTTGATCATATATTAGACAGGGTAACACAGACAAACTATAAAGGACTGACCTCTTTTTTACCTGGAAATATGTTCTTTGTTAGTTCAGTTTTTCTTATATTAAATTAAAAAAATTTTTTTTCTTTTGCTATTTTATGAGTGTATTTATTGCCTGCATGTGTGTAAGTGCACCCATGTTGTGCGATGCCCATGGAGGATGGAAGGGGGTGTTCGATCCCCTGGAACTGGAGTTACAGATGGTTGTTAGCCGCCATGTGGGTGTTGGGATTTGAACCCAGGTCTTCTGCAGGAACAACCAGTACTCTTAACTGATGAGCTATCTCCCCTGCCAAATTTTTCTTATTTTAAAACATAGCATCAAGGGGCTGGAGAGAGTTCAGAGGTTTAGAACACTGGTTGTTCTTCCGGAAGACCCAGATTCGAATCCCAGCACCCACATGGCAGCTAACAACTGTCCGTAACTCCAGTCCCAGAGGATCCGACAGCCTCTTCTGACCTCCACAGGTATTGCATGACACAGGTACACTTAACCTACATGCAGGCAATACATGCATACACATAAAATTTTTAAAAATAATTTAAAAAATTAAGAAAGAAAACATAGGATCAAATACATCAGATTCACATGGGCTCTCAATGGCAAAGACCACTGGTCCACCTTTCTTACACTTCTGCTTCATAGAGTCACTTAGACATTCAATTACTTTAAAGGGAGAATTGGATTTATCATTATCTTCAGTTTTCTTATTTTTATGGCTTTATTTTTTAGCTCGGGAAGCCAAGAGAGATAAACCTAAATAATGAGAATCTTCCTATCTGTAAGACCTGATAATATTACTTGGTATTTTGGGTTTTTTTCCCCAGTTTTAAATTTTATTTTATCTTGGTGCTGATGATTAAACCCAGGGCCTCATACATGCTAAGAACACGCTCTACCACCAAGCTACAGTACCTCCCCAGCCCCAGTATTTTGATTCATTAACATTTTAATTGTTTTTGTTTTCTATGTTTATCATAAAGTAAGTATGTTAGCTTGCCTCACAGCTACATCAAAACAGTGTCGAAAAGATCATGGTTTTTACCCGACACACCCTGACTCAATTATAAAAGTGTCTTTTGGGGTAGTGGGTGGCCAGTGGTTGGTGCTTCACTTCTGAGACTCGGACAGTGGGTTGAGATCAAATATGACCACAAGGACGAGGACCAGGCAGGCTTCTCACGCTGCTGCCTTTGCTGTTGCCTGTCAGCCAAGCTACATGCTGCAGTCTGAAGACCTCCGGGCCTCCCTGCTGGCGAGGTATCCTCCTGAAAAACTCTTCCAAGTCGAACGGAATTTCAACGCTGCTCAGGACTTGGATGTATCCCTTTTGGAAGGTGACCTGGTCGGTGTGATCAAAAAGAAAGACCCCATGGGCAGTCAGAACCGCTGGCTTATTGACAATGGAGGTAAGAGCACCAGGCATCAGGTGACCCCATCTCTGAATGAGGGAAAGGTTACTTAGGTTATACTGTTGCCTGTGTGGGCCAGAAAGACATGAGAGCCTTTCATGAAAGGGGAAAGTAACTGTAAACATTGGTCCACTTCTAGAGTGTATAACGCTCAGGTCGTTACCAAAACAACTACTGCAGATTATGTTTTTGTTTTGATAAATTCCAGAAGATTCCATTACTTATCCTGAAAGATCTTGCCATGTCTTTTAGCTTGACTTGGAAATAAATATACCTAATGGATCCTGTTTCTTTCCAACCTCTTCTAAGTCACAAAAAACTCTCTCAGTTTCTATAAATCTGTCTTGTATGTGAATTAAAAATCTGTGGATTTTGTTTGCTTTTTCCCTGTAACAATTTTACCTCATTACTATTTAGAGAATGACTATAAACAGCTCACAGCTTTGGGGGGTGGAGATTGGGGAGGTGAGATTGTGGGATTTAAAGTACAAAGAATAATCCTAATCTATAGTCCTTTTTCCCACAGTTCCAAAATCAAAAAGTTTAGAAAAACAAAGGTTAATTTTAGAACCCTTTTGCCAAACCTGAACAGAGAGATATGAGATGAGATGATTTATAATCATAGCTTACCTTTTCCAATGTAATATAGTCATATTTTGCTGTGGTGGGTTATGAAATATATATGTGTTCGCCTTTCCCCAAATCAAAAATATGTGCCAGGCATGGTGGCGCACACCTGTAGTCCCAGCACTTGGGAGGCGGAGGCAGGCAGATCTCTGTGAGTTCAAGGCCAGCCTGGTCTACATAGTGAGTTCCAGGACAGCTGGGGCTACAGTGAGACACTGCTTCAAAAAGACAAAAAAAGTGTGTGTGTGTGTGCGTGTGTCCCCAAAAAAATAATGGAAAGAAAGCTAGAGTTTCTACAAAAGGTGTCCTAAAATACCTGGCCTAAGCATTCTAGATAGAGTTTGGGGGCCTAGACAACTTTTAGCATTTCTGGTTTCTTTAAAAGATCTGGTGGACTGGAAAGATGGCTCAGTTGATAAAGCACTTGCCTCACAAACATTATGACTAGAGTTGGGATCCCAGGAATCCATGGAAAAATCCAAGTGACATACCTCACATTGTGTCCGGACACCGCCTGTCGTGTGGAGGACCCAGGAGAGTCCCTCAGCTCTAGAAATTTGGGATTCCTTCATGAGCAGAGACTTGGAACAGAAGTAAACAAAACATATTATAAAACTAAAGTAATATTAACATTTAAAAAAGAAATCCCGAAGGAGATGGTCTCAGTCTTAAGGAGTTACATGCCTCGGGTCTGAACTTTCTAGACTTCTTCATACTAGAAAACATTTTATGTTTGCAATGTGCAGCTGAGTGCCCTCTGTGTCATTGTGGGCAGTGTGTTAAAGTGGGCACACTGTACATGGCTGTGTGCTCGAAGTGAGAGGCAGAGCCTACTTGAGAATACTCACAGCCTTCCACAGCATTTCCAACCCTGAGGGTCCCAGTGTGTGAGGACGAGGGCGGATGGCCTTTCTGAGGGGCTCCTCAGCACAGGGTTGGTCTTGAAATCCTTTGCCACATGTAGTGTGTTTGAACTCGCCTGTAGCAGCCTTCTCAGCCCTGAGGGGCAATGTGTGACATGTTCTTCATAGGCCCATCTTCAGCCGCCATTTATTTGTGTATTTGTTTTTATTTTGCTATTTTAAATCAAGGTCTCACTCTGTAGGGAAGGCTGGCCTTGAGCTTGCAACAATCCTTCTGCTTCAGCCTCTTGAGTGCTCAGATTACCAGCACGGACCACTTTTGTTTTTGTTTTTAAGCAAATGTTTTTTGGAGTTTTCTGTTGTGTTTGTTTTTCCCGCTACCCTCAGTTTCCCACAGGCCTCCTTATCCTTCTGTTAGGAGGTTGGACTAGGAAGGAACTGGAAGGTAGCCACAGGTCTTTGTCTCTGAATGCGTAGATTGTCTTCTGGGATTAGATGTTGCAATCTGTTTTGTCTCACCCTTGACCTGACCTTTAAACCATAGTTTTTCTGTAAATTCCTTGATCCTCCCTCCTTTTACTACAAGCTGCCGCTCTTTCCTTCTGCAGTCACCAAAGGCTTCGTGTACAGCTCCTTCCTGAAGCCCTACAATCCTCGGCGCAGCCACTCAGACGCCTCTGTGGGCAGCCACTCGTCCACAGAATCAGAGCACAGCAGCCCCTCGCCCAGGGTCCTGCGGCAGAACAGCAACAGTGCCTTGACCTTCAACCCCAGCAGCATGTCCGTATCCTTCTCCTCAGGACTGCACCCGAAGCAACCTCAGGATGTGTCTTCATTGAAGGACTGTGACCAAGGAACTCTCAGTCAGGCCTTGAACCCAGGGAGTCCAGAGAGTGGTCCTCCCAGGGGATCTGCAGACCCAGACTCCACCTGCCAGCCTAGACCAGGGGACTCTACAGATGGGGCCAGGAATGGAGGCCAACCTGCTGCCAACCTGAGGGGCTGCCACCGAAGCTCCAGGCATCCAGAGGTGGTTGGTTACTCTGCACCAGATCGAAATGGACAAAGTAATAATGACTTCATAAAAGGACGTACAAGAGCCTACCAGACTCCAGAAGACAGAAACAAGGGGCAAGGAAGCAGCGAGACAGAAGGCAACCAGGTAAGTGCATGCCTGGAGGAGCACCACAGAGAGGGAGAGGCAAAGGCTTGCCTAGGCCCTGGGCATGGTCTGGGGATGAGGCTGTCGCCGATCCTGACCACATGCCCCAAACCCCATGCCGTCCTAGGGAGCAGCGCGGTGTCTGAGTACCTGCTGCAGGGACACTTCCCAAGCCGTTCCTGGAGGCTTCTGCTCTGTCACTGGGCATTTAAAAGATATCAAAAGGAAACCTTTTTCTACTCTTCAAATTCCTAAGTTCTTCCAGCTTATCAAGGTTGATGTTTAACCCATTTATTCACCTAACTATATTTTTATTTCTAGAATTTAGAAATGAAATTAAGTGCTACTTCAGTTTTTCTTTTTGTTGTTTTGTTTATTTAGATTTTATGTGTGTGAGTATATTGCCTGTGTGTATGTAAGTGCACCTGTGTCGTAAAATACCCTCAGAGGTCAGAAGAGGGCATCAGAATCCCTGGAAGTGGAGTTACAGACGGTGTTAGCCACCATGTGGGTGCTGGAAACCAAACCCAGGTCCTCTCCAAAAGTAGTCAGTGCTCTTAACTTGCTCTTAACTTCTCAGCCATGTCTCTAACCCCTGTTTGTTTGTTTGTTTGTTTGTTTGTTTTATTAAAACTTTTTAAAAATTTTTTATTTTATATGTATGCGTGTACTGCCTGCATGTAGGTAAGTGCGCCATGTCATGCAATGCCCTCAGAGGTCAAAAGAGGCTGTCGGATCCCCTGGGACTGGAGTTACAGACAGTTGTCAGCTGCCATGTGGGTGCTGGGATTCAAACCCAGGTCTTCTGCAAGAACAACCAGTGTTCTTAACTGCTGAGTCATCTCTCCAGCCCCTCCCTTGTTTGTTTTTTTAAAACAGGGTCTCACTACAGGCTGTCTCCTGAGTGCACCAGCACACCCAGCTTTTATTTTTGATTTATGTGTATGTATGGATTTGTACACATGAATGCAGGTGTCCACTGAGGCCAGAGGTGATAGATTCCCCCTCATGCTGGAGTAACCATTTTGAGCTGCCTGATGTGGGTGCTGGGAAACAAACTCTCATCCTCTGGAAGAGCAGGAAGCGTTTTCAACTGCCAAGCCATCTCCCTAGCCCCTTTTCTTGTTTTTGTAATGATCTGCTCCTGTCTTGTGAATCGGATGCAGCCTTCCTGCTGCACGTTTTCCTACATTATATTTTAAAGCCACATTCAGATTTATAGCTGCACCTCCACCTTTCTTGCAGAGGCTCACATGGCCATGAGTTTCTCATTAGATTATTTACAGATGTGGCTGCATTGTAGACATGTGACTTCTGCTGGAGTCTGGATTCTACAGGCCAGTTTTCTCCTAGTCTCTCAGTTCTGGCTTTTCTTGCCACAGCGGACTGTTGTGCCTGCTCAGTTCTCTCTGGTGATTCTCTATCTACCTGAAGCCTAAGGCAGACATCTCAGTTCTGAACCCAAGTGGACAGTTTTTTTAGACATCTGGACATGTCAAATAGACCTGTCCTAGATAGTGATTTGGGACAGGGAACATAGCCTCATTAGCTCCTGAACCCAGCCAGATCCTGAAGGATAATCATTGGGTGTGTTCTGGTCCCAGGGGCCTTGTGACTTCTCTTGGCACTGCCACCCCCCCCCCCGACTGTGTACTGTATCTTCTTTATGACACCTAGAAGATTGTCCTTTCTTGCTTTGAGGTTAATCATGTATTATTATTTTAGGGTTTGGGAGTGTTTTTCCCCCCATTTATGGGGTTAGAACCCAGGGTGTGGAGCATGTTAGGCCAGTGCTCTGAACTCTCCCTGGTCCTATTTCAGAATACCCTGAATTAGGGTGTAGAAGGTACCCCACATGCATCATAGCTCATGTATCTTCTCAATTGACCAGAGCTTCCCTCTTTAAGGCAGTTCTGAAACTATTAAAAGGTGTGAATTTTGGGGGTTTTGTTGTTTGTTTTTTGAGGCAGGCCTCTAATTTGTGGCAATCCCCCCATCTCTGCTTCCTGAGCCCTGGGATAATAGGAATTTGCCACCATGGCCAGCTAATTTTGAACTTGCCCTGTTCATTATGGACTATTCCAGTCATATAGCTACTTGAAGTTAAATCATATTAGAAATTCAGTTCTTGGGACTAGAGAGATGCTCAGTGGTTAAGAACACTGGCCATTCTTGCAGAAGACCTGAGTCTAATTTGTATCCCCAAATGCTTTTGGATGTGAGTTCATACCCTGGAGCCTACCTGGCATCACACCCCTAAAAAAAGCTGACTCTCCCTTGAGCAGCTATCAGCTGCCAGTAGTTCCTCATCCAGGGCTGGGCTTCCTGCCCTTCTCCCCTCCTATGCTGGTATTTTTTCTGGCTTGAGCTTGCATAGGTCTTATGCAGGCTGTCACAACTGTGCTGCATTATATGTGCCCCAGCTATATTTCAGGTGCTCGGTGGACACAGTGTAGGCCTAGACAATCCCCTCACTGTGGGATTCCAATAGCATTGCTCCAAGAAGATTCCTAAACTCCCTCTCTCCCTCACACAGGTTTATTTTGCCGTCTATACCTTCAAGGCACGAAACCCAAATGAGCTGAGTGTGTCAGCCAATCAGAGACTCAGGATCCTCGAATTTAAAGATGTTACAGGCAATACCGAGTGGTGGTTGGCTGAAGTTAACGGGAAGAAGGGCTACGTCCCATCCAATTATATCCGCAAAACTGAGTACACCTGAGCCCAGGCTAGCTCCTGCCCAACCATGCTGCCTTCGCTTTCAGTCCGCTGGAAGGTTCTGGTGGGCCGCCTGGCACCTGCTCTGAGCACAGGCCCTGCCGCACCGCTCATCCATAACATGGAGCACAAGATAAGCTTTGTTCTCAGTTGGGTTGTAAACCTTGAAGCTCGCTAGAATTTCTCGAATTTGAAGTGGACCCCAGGGCTTGGCAAAGGATTTGGTGACCACAAGAAGGGGGGCAAGTGCTGGGGTCAGCCTTGGGAAATGAGAGGTTTCCAGTCAGAAAAGCGGCTTTGTGCGTATGCAGGAAGCCATGCCAGCAAGGCAAGGTGCTGGCGTTGGTTGTAGCATGCATCATGATCGACTGGCCAGGAATTGGCATGGATGGAGAGGCAGCAGGGCTCTGGGAGCCCTCGTAGACCGTGCCTCCCTATGTGGAAAGATTTGTCAAGACCACAGCAGACCTGGTGTGTCAAAGCTTCTGAGACACCAGTGCCCAGCACACCTTCTCTCTGATACTCACTTACCCGTAGGGCCTAGTTCTTAAGAGACTAATCTTATTTATTTCACTGCATTCCCAGCTGCTTTCTTTTACCAAGTGTTTCAGGTCTTCCATTTCCCCCTTGACCTTGCATCTGGAAGGTTCTCTTCTTCCCTGGTTGACAGTCAGTCATCTGCCCCTTCCTCCACTTTATGTGGTCTGTGTGAGGGCTCCAGGCCCTCTCCTCACTCAGTCACTGACTGGCTTCTCTAGAGCAGCAGGACTGGTGCCCCAGCCGCCCCTTGAAAGTGTTAGTTCTGCACCAGTCTCCAACCAGTGCTCCTAGAGGAAGACCGGGTGCCTTTCTCTTGCTCCCAGGCCCACTGCTGCCAGCTGGTTGCATCCCCAGATGCTCAAGACAGTCATGTGGGTTGAAGGAGGATAACTGGTCCCAGAAACTGCTGGTTCTAGGCTGGGAAATAAGATTTTTCTGTCATCACTGACTGGCATACAAATTCAAAATTCAAAGCCAAACAGATCCTAAAGTGCCCGATGAGACCTCCCACCCACAGCAAGAGGGCATTTTCTAGTCTCGTACATGAAGAAACTGCCCTTGAAAATGTTGTCTTAGCAGGGCTCCTACTTCAGATTGTCCCTAGACATGAAGCCTACCTTGGAATGGGAAACTATGAATTTTGTCTCTTAAGAAAGGGAGTTAGGACCAGCCTTAAGCCCCCACTCCTCCAGCTGGGCATTTAGCCTTAAAATCCTGGTGAATCAGGACACACCTCATCCACAGAATCTACACCACTGGTCAGGGTCTCTTGTGAAGTGTTTATATCTAGAGATGTTTATATTTAAGTAGCTCTTTTATAAATAAAAGCATTTCTAATGGCCATGTTTTCTTGATTTCCTCCATATTGGATTGTGACATTTTTCTTGGTTTTGGGGGGTTCCTTCTTGACAGTTTGATGATGCTGATTCTGGAAGAATGATCAGAAAAGGCCAGCTGAGGAAATGCAGGGAAGGTCATCCTGCTAACAGTGCTACAGCCTCTGTGCTCTCTCTCAAGATGCCCGTCTGCAGCTCTCTCTCTCTCTCTCTCTCTCTCTCTCTCTCTCTCTCTCTCTCAGAAAGGTATATTTATGTGGCCACATTGAGAAGAGGAACAATGAAGTCCAAAGACTCTCCCTCCCCCAGAGTCTGTCTTGGTGACTGTCTCTCTCCCTCTTCTGGCTTCTGGCCTCTGTCGGCACCTGCACTCACACACGTATGCATAATTTAAAAAATAATATGCAATAAGTCACTAAAAATAAATACGGAAGAGAGGGCAGTTGTGTCAGTCCTCCCTGAGCCCTAGGCAGCATAGCATGAAAGAGACCCTCTAATGGAGGAAGGAGAGAGGTAGAATGCTAGACATTGCCTATCACTCCACCCCCAGGCCCACCCCAGTGGAGCCTAGTGCCAAGCAGGCTGATCTTCCAGGCGAGCTACAGCATGGGTAATTAATGAGCAGTGACCAGAGTCACCACAGACGTATTCACTCAAGGCCTCGTGCTAGAGGAATTGCAGTGGTCCTGCCGGCCAGAAGCACAGGCGCGATGGCTCCTGGTGCTTCAGCTTGGGGAAAGCACAGAAGAGAGCAGGAAGGTATGATGGCCTCATGACTACTGGGACATGCTTAGCACAGGGCAAATCTTCATATCTCTGTCGAGTTCTACCCTGAATTAAAGCTATTAGGGACAGAAACCCAGAAGTACATCCTGGATGAAATACCTGTCACCTGGCTGCTGGTCGTTCCTAACTGATCACCATCACTCCCAAAGCATCCTCCCCACACAGAGCATCCATATCACATTCTACTCCAAGCTCTGTAGCTCTGACAGATTGATGTGAAAGGATCAAATCAGATCAAGGTCTTGCTGAGACACTCATTCTTGATTTTGTCCATCCTCAACCTGTCATGAAAAAAAAATTTACTTTAAATTTTTATTTTAATTTTATGTGTATGCATGTTTTACTTACATGTATGTAATAAGTGCACTAGTGTGTGAAATGCCTAGGGAGGCCAGAAGAGGGCACTGGATGCCCTGGAACTGGCGTTCTAGAGGGTTGATTGGTAATCACCATCTGGGTGAGCTGCAAGAGCAGCCAGTGTTTGTAACTGCTGAGCCATCTCTCTAGTCCTCCCACAAAAAAAGTTTCGTTTTTTGTTTTTTTAAATCACAAACCTGTTTCAAGGCATTGAAGAACAGAAATCTTTGGTGAAAATTTCTTTTGAGCTGGGCATGATGGCAGGTCCAGAATCCCAGCACTTATGGGATGCTAATGCAGGAGGATTGCTGAGAGTTCGGGGCTGGCTTCGGCAACATAGTGAGACCCTGTATCAGCCCCTCCCCCCCAAAAAGGAAGACGGGAGAGAAAGAAGAAAGGGATGAGGAGGGGAGGGCAGGAGAAAGCAAAGAGAAGGAAAGACCGGAGAGAGGAGTACAAAGGAGAGGACAGCCATACGTCAGGGCAGCTCTCTTCTAAAAACTCCTGTGAGCGTCATGGCTCAGCCCTTCACCTCCAGCGTCGGTCCCAATCCGCGTCTTACTCTCTGACTCCAGCGTCCTCTCGCCCACTTTCCTATTGCCAAGCTGACCTTTTCTCCTCCCTTCCTTTCCCTTTTTCTCTCTTTTGAGAATTTTAAAGATTTTTTAAAAAATATTTATTTTTATTTTATGTGTGAGAGTGTTATGCCTGCATATAAGTACACCCTTGTGCAGTGCCTGTGGGGGACGGAAGAGGCTGTCAGATCCTCTGGAACTGGAGTTACGGACAGTTGTTAGCTGCCATGTGGGTGCTGGGATTTGAACCCTAGTCTTCTGCAAGAACAACCAGTGTTCTTAACTGCTGAGCCATCTCTCCAGCCCCAATTTTAAAGATTTTTTAAAATCCCAAACCGGGCGTTGTGGCACACACCTTTAATCCCAGCACTCAGGAGGCAGAGGCAGGTGGATCTCTGAGTTCAAGGCTAACCTGGTCTACACAGTGAGTTCTAGGACAGCTGGGGCTACAGGGAGACCCTGTCTCAAAAAGACCAAAAAAAAAAAGATTTTTAAAAATCCTGTGGAGGTAAGAAGAGGGCATCAGATTCCCTGAACCTGGAATTGCAGCAGTTGTGAGCTACCATTGGGTCCTGAGAACCAACCCTAGTCCTCACCATGTTTCAGATCAAACAGTTTAGTTGCATGCATTGACATCTACCCCACTTCCCACTGATAACATCACAACAGAACAGAGGCCTAATGACCAAATGGAAGAAACCAAAGACCCTCCACACTGGAGACAGGAAGGATTAGGACAGCATATCTAGTTATCTTGTATTACACTTGTTGCTGGTGTTCCTTCACCCCTGGAAATATTCTATGACATGTCATAGTAAGTCCGCAGGAGATTCCAAAAGCTTTCCGCAATCAAAGAAGTTTGGGGATCTGCTAAAAAAGTGGCACCTTCTGCACATTAAGCCAGGCACTGTGCATTACCCTGTTGTGATCACCCTAACAGTCTTATGTGACACATAAAGACCCAGTGTATCCCAGTTGAAACACAAAGGCAGATTTAAATCCCCACCCTCAACCCCCGAAAACAGTTTGAAGAGCTTTCCACAGTGCAAATACATTTACAAGAGTCAGGGAAGGCTGCTGTTAACAGCACCTGAGTGAAACAGAGAAGAGATGTGTTGAAGAGGATGGCCAGCATCGGTGTAGATTGGCTTTGTCATCTGTCCCCCAAACCCACACAGCACATCATGGTAAGAGCTCCCCTCTTCTTGGGGGAGGAGGGGTACGTGAACACCAGATGCTTGCTTCCAACCCAACAGCAACCAGTGGGGCCAGGCCTTCCCAAGGACTTGGGACTGCCCTCCTCATTCAGGTTCCAGGCATGCCCTGGCATCAGCCCAGCTGCCATGGATTCAGGCTCCAGGCTGGTTGCACTGGATGCAGGCATCAGATCCATCCCAGAAGGCAGCCACCTTTACAGGCTCAAAGTCAAACTCCACCCTCATTCCAGGTCAGCCTCTGTGGACCCAGGATTCATGCCAGCTCCTGTGTTCCAAGCTCAACCCTGTGGACACACATGCCATGGATCCAGGTTCCAAGCCCAAACTGCAGACCCAAGAACCAGGACTGGCAGACTACTGACCCAGGGACCAGGCCAGCTTTGGAGAAGAAATCTGTTTTGTCACTCCCCATGTCTATAGTCAGGTACCATTCTAGAGATGGAGCCCACGTTTTTGAGATTGCACTGCTCTGGGGGACCTAGAAGCAAACAATAGCAACTTGAGCCAGGGGACTTTCTGCCACTGTCTGAGTAGAAGGTGGCTAGGAGTGGGGAGGAGAGCCAGACACAAACCATTGAGATCAGCAGTGGAGAGCTCAGAACAAGGGGGCAAGCACCCCATGGTCTGAGGATTACTGCATAGCCTGAAGGCCCTAAACCCCTGGCCAGCAATTGCTCAGCCTATGTGGCCTTCCTGCTGGCTACACATAGTTTGCTACTGGGCAACATGAAGAGCTCTGAGCCAGGTCTGGTGTAGTACTCTATGTCCTAGCCTGTTCTCTCCCATAGAGCAATTCACTGCAAGGCAGGATCTGAAAGCTCTGGGATTGGCAGACCAAGTGCTGGGTCCCTCCCTCTGTTCACTCCTCCAGTTCAGATCCTGGTGCTGTTTGCTTCCCCTACTCTGACATACCCAGGGGACACCTCTCAACTTGTGGATCGCACCCATTAGTGCACAAACCAGGGGAGGAGGGCTCTGGAGTGGGTGGGAGACTCCCAAGCCCACAGGTTACAAAGTTCAATGTTGGCAGCAGCAGCTCCTGTTATGGGGAGGAGGGCTCTGGAGTGGGTGGGAGACTCCCAAGCCCACAGGTTACAAAGTTCAATGTTGGCAGCAGCAGCTCCTGTTATACAAAGAAGGGAAGCTTCTAAAATGAATACAGCCAGTTACAGTGGCACAGGTCTGTAATCTCAACTGAAGCAGGAGGATTCCTGTGTATCTGAGACTAAAGGCTGAACTACATAGTGAGTTCAAACCCAGCACGGGGTACAGAGCAAAACTCTTAACAAACGAAAGTGAGTGTAGCACTAACACTGACAAACAACCTTTGACTAACCCAACCTTGTGGGAAACAATATAGAGATTCCTCAAAAATCTAAAAATAGGGGACTGGAGAGATGGCTGTGGTAAAGAGCACAGGCTGCTCTTGCAGAGGTCCGGGGTTCGGTTCCCAGCACCCACATGGTGCCTAACAACCGTCCTTAACGCCATTTCCAGGGGATCCAATGCCCTCTTCTGACCTCTGTTGGCATTGCACAATATGGGTGCACTTATATACATGCAAGCAATACACTCATACAATAAAAATAATAAAATATTTTTTTAAAAACTAAAAGTAGGGGCTAGAGAGATGGCTCAGCAGTTAAGAGCACTGACTGCTCTTGCAGAGGACCCGGGTTCGATTCCCAGCACCCACATGGTGGCTACACACTGTCCTTAACTCCAGTTCCAGGGGAATCCAAAGCCCTCTTCTGACCTTCGTGGCAGTGCACAACACTGGCGCACTTATGTACACGCACGCAATACACTCATACACATAAAATAAAAATAATAAAATATTTTAAAAAATAGAAGTGCCTTATGCTCCAGTAATACCATGCTGGGTATATATACAAAGGGAATGAAATCAGTAGATTGAAGAGCTCAACGATCTCCCCATGTTCACTGCGTTACCATTCATAGTGGTCTAGATATGGAATCAAGCTAAGAGTACAATCTGGATAGTTCAAATGAGAAAACATGGTATATATGCACAATGGAATACTATTTAGCCTTTAAAAAGCCTTGTCA